GATTATCTTCTGTGTCTGTGTTAATTGGTTTCCCTTTTCTTTGTTGAAGAGGGTCTGTGCAATCCTTCTGCCTAGTCCGCCATCTTGCCCCGCCTCCGTGATGGATGCTACATTTAACATCAATAGCTAAAGCTATTATGTAAACATTTTCCATTTTGTTTATTTAAGTCACCTAGTCGTAACAAGAGGAAACTACTTAGAAAACCTAGAAACAAATTAGTACTGCATCTACTCTGCTACTTTTTTTTTTATAGAGATATATGTACAGTTTAGTCAACCAAAAAATTGGAGGTTTGAGTCTACTCAGTGTCACCTTAGAAAAAAGACCTGAAAAATTAATCTGAAAAATCAATCATTAAAAACCTGATGGAGCATAGTTCTAATCTGATACACATGTGGTCACATGAGTCAGAGTCAACTTGACAGCAACTTGTTTTTTTTTTTAAAGAAATGAGAAACTAAACATTTTTGAATGTGTGTTAATGATGGACACTGTCATGTAATCTGTTAGACTCAAAGATCAGTCAATGAGCTTTAAATGACAGCACAGATGTGATGAGTGCTTTATCCTTAATGAATATAAGGGTATGTTGGATTGGCCAATAGGCCATAGGAATGTCCTAGATAGATATACTCTATCATCTAGGACATTAGATATACTCTCTAGATACACTCCACAGAGTTAATGTACTCTAGCCTATACCTGATTTTGAGTCAGTTTTGCTGGTATCACTTTAGCCTGCTACTCTTCTAAGACATGCCCTTTGTCTTTCATTTCACTGAAGGACACCACGAGGCCATAATATCACTCTTGGATGCTACTCTTCTTGTCATCATTTTCTTTTCTACATCATATTGGGAAAGATATTCACAAACACATTTACCTAGGATATTTATTGCATAAAGCAAATGATATTACAGTTTCTAAAGAAATAAAGTTAACAGAGTAAAAGAGATACTCTAAAGAGAGAAAAAGATGGAAATTTCACTCATGAATTGATCGATAAACTTCCTCCAGGACAGGAATGAGAAGTTAAAATAAAAGTAGATAATGCTATAGGACTGTTTTAGAATTGACTGCAGTTGTTCGGTTGAACAGTGTTTCCTTTCCACACATTTTAAGAATGTCTATATCATAGTTGTGTCACATCAAGAATGGGTAAAAATGCATACTTATTCTTAGGAGCTCTGGTGGCATAGTGCCTAAGGCATTTGGCTGCTAACCAGAAGGCTGGCAGTGCAAACCTACCAGCTACTCCTCGGAAGGAAGATTGGGCAATCTACTTCCGTAGTGATACTGCCGGAAAACCCAAGGAGGGGTCACTGTGAGTCGGATCAGACTTGACAGCAGTAAGTTATTCTTAGGTAAAACATTTGCTGTTCGCTCTTGCTTAGTAAATTTTTAAGACATTTGTGCTGTATAATATTTCTCTTGTTTCTGATGAATTTAAGGGTTAATTGTTCTAAATGTTATAGTTCAAGTACTGAGGAGTCAAATGGTTAAGCATTCTACTACTAACTGAAAGGTTAGTGGTTCAAACCCACCCAGAGGCACCTTGGAAGAAAGTCCTGGTGATCTACCTCTGAAGATCCCAGCCTTGAAACTCCATGGAGCACTGTTCTAGTCTATAGCACATGGTATCACCAAAGGTCAGATTAAACAGTGGTTTCTTTGTTTGTTTGCTTTTTGCACTATGGGTAACTATATTATGTCATTGTGTAGTTATGAGTTCATATTAATTTTAAAATAAACTCTTTTTTTAGAACACAATGAAAACTGTAAGCCTCCACCTGATCTAATAAATGGGGCTGTTGTTGATGGATTATTGGAAAGCTACCCAACAGGATCCTCAGTGGAATACAGGTGCAACGAATATTATTTACTGAGAGGATCAAAGATGTCTCATTGTCAACAAGGAAAATGGACATCTCCACCTGTTTGCTTAGGTAAGACAGAGAACACTCTGAATTTCTTCTACAATTACATTTATATTTTATGTGATTTTCTTATAATATTTTAGAGCATATAAATGATTATTTGTATAGTTTCTTTTTTCAGGCACCTCTCTCTTCCCTCAATTCTTTAAGCAGAAAATCTCTACCATTTTAGGATCTAGGACTATATTAGTTCTTGCCTCATTACTTTTTGTGTTGTCTTTCTCTTAGCTTAATGTCTCTGCTTCTCTTATCCTCAGAATACCATTTGAAGAGGAGAATAATCCATAACCACCTAACCCAAATGATCACTTTTATTGTATCTTGTTGATTATACAAATATATGTTTGTAAGCTTCCCTGCATGTATTTTGGAAGAAGGCATGATACAAAAAATTTTCATATTTCAAGTGGAGAACCGAGGCAGTTATTGAAATATTTAAATTGAAAAAACACCAAGAAAGCAATACACACTTCTCTTCTTAAGTCTATGTATTTGCCTCAATTTTTAACTTTTCCAAACAGAGTTTATTTAAAAGCCTTTAATCTGCCCTCATTGTTACAGATCATTGAACATGCTATATTGTGTCATTTTACAAATAGGCAATAACATGATGAATACCATATACATTAAAATAACTATTTAATTTAAAGTATTAGCATTTTGAAATAGCAAAAGCAAATTATTATTTATCAAAAAATTAGTAAATAATTAGAAACAATTCACTTCAAGGAAAAAGGTGCACCTGATCAAAGCCATGGTGTTTTCAATTGCCTTATATGCATGTAAAAGCAGGACAATGAAGAAGGAAGGGCAAAGATATATTGATGCCTTTGAATTATGGTGTTGGCAAAGAATATTGAATATACCATGGACTTCCAGAAGAATAAACAAAGAATGCCCTTAAGGAGTGAGGGTGGCAAGATTTCATCTCACGTACTTTGGACATGTTATCAGGAAGGACCAGTCCCTATAGAAGTATATCATGCTTGGTAAAGCAGAAGGTCAGCAAAAAGAGGAAGACAAGATGAATTGACACGGTGACTGCAGCAATGGGCTCCAACATAGCAACAGTTGTGAGGATGGCATAGCACTAGGCAATATTTTGTTGTACACAGGATTGGTATGTGCCCGAACTGACTTGATGGTACCTAACAACAATAACATATACAACACAAATACAGAGTTTATGTAACTTATACTTTTTTCACTTAAAAATACTTTGTGAGCATTATTTAATATACTTCCACAATTTTCTTTTAGGTAGCTGCATAGCATTCCAAAGTGCTAATATGCTAATTAATTTGATTAGTCACTTTACTGATGAAGGAGCCCAAGTGGCGTAGTGGATAAGGGACTTAACTGCTAACCAGAAGGTCAGAGGTTCAAACCCACCAGCTGCTTGCTCTGAGGAAGGAAGACTGGGCAATTTACTTCCGTAAAAATTTACAGCCTGGGAAACCCAGTGGGTGTTGCTATGGGTTGGAAATGACTCGATGGCAGTGAGTATGTTTTTTTGTTTTGTTTTACTGATGATTGTTTAGTTTTTCCAACATATTCATTTTCTAAACAGCTTTTTTTAAAAAGTATTTGTATATATTTTTTAAAATTTCATTTTTTTAGTTGAAAAATTAAATATATTTATTTTGTCTAAAGTTTATTTTCTTATTATTTTTCAGATTTTCTAAAGTGATATTTCTAGAACAAAAAATCTTTAGTTTTTTTTTTATTGCAAAATTGTCTTTCAAAAATTTAATTCTGATTTATATTGCTATCATCAGTAACTAAATGAAGCAGTTTTCTTAATATTTTTGGCAACATTGCATTTTTAAAAATCTTTATGTTTTTCATCAATCCAGCAGACAAAATCTTTTAACTTTATTTATTTATTTATTAATGAATGAGACATTTAAACTTTTCTATGGCTATAAGATTTTCTTTTCATGAATTAACTGTTCAGTTTCATCATTTTTCTGTGCTCATTATAAGAGCTATATCTATATAAATTGTATTACCCTTATATGACAATCATATCTATTGTAAATTTGTTTTCCTTTTACTTAAGGCCATTTTTAATATTCAGAAATTTTAGTTTTGAAGCCTCGAGCTCTTTCAACTTTTCTTTTGTGGTTTCTCCTTTTAAATCATTCTGAGGAAGCTGTTCTCATTCAAAATCAGATACATCTGCTTCTCTGTTGTTACGTGCCTTTGAGTCAGCCCTGATTCATAGGGACCCCTCCTTGGGTTTCCGAGGCAGTATCACTATGGAAGTAGATTGCTCAACCTTCCTTCCGAGGAGTGGCTGGTGGGTTTGAACTGCAAGCTTTCTGGTTAGCAGTCAAGTGCCTTAGGCGCTATTCCTCTATATATCATTTTTTCTATTGTTCATATTCTCATAAGCATTTCTGATATTGTTTCTGTTGATGTGGTTAATATTGGATTGAATGAAAGTACAGTCATCTCTGAGGCTGGAAATTGGGTTGCAATAGTCATGGAAAAACTAGTAATAAAGTCACCATATAAGGAATAAAGGGTTTAAGGAAATCTATTATTCTCTACCTGAAAAAATTACTTCAAGAAGCTTAGACTTGGTAGTAATAAACCAAAGAAGATATCAAATGAAGATCATTTATTGTCATTATGGCAAGAGGAGAGAGTTTTTGTACATCTCATTTATCCTGAGAATTGAAAGTAATATCACTCCAAATGTTCGCAACACTGTGATTGAGGTAAAGTCTTCTACCCGCGGATGATTATTCCAGATATTATGAACATTCTTGAGCTCTCTCTGCCCTTCTTCTCTGCTCTCCTGCTTCTCCAGTCACTCTGGTCTCTTTATCCATCCTCAAACAAGACAAGCATGCTGTCATCTCAGGGCCTTTGCACTGGTTATTTCCTCTATGTGGAATGATTTTCCACTATAAACAACATAGTTCACTCCCTATCCTTCCTCAAATCTGTGCAAATTGTCACTTCTGATTTAGGCATTCCCCAATACCTTACTTAAAAGTGCAATCTCCCTCCTCCCAGCCCTTCTGTTAGCTCCTCCCTTCCTCTTCTCTTTTCCCCATGTATTTTATTATTTGTTGTAGTATGGAACCCACTGCCATCCGGTCGTTTCCAATTCATAGCGACCCTTTCTTTGTTTCCAAGGTGTTAAATCTTTATGGAAGTAGATTTGCCTCATCTTCCTTCTGCTTAAGCACTACCATAGAGGTAGCCACAAATTCTAGCACATTATAAAATTCATACATTTATTGTATTTATTCCTTATTACATGTATTGTTCCCATTAGAAGATAAGCTCTACGGGGACAGAGATCTTTGTTTTGTGTAATATAGTATTGCAAGTGACTGGAACACTGCCTGGTAGAGCGTATATGGTAAACATATTCTATATTTCGGGAGCTCTGGTAGTATAGTGGCTAAGACACTTGCCTGCTAACCAGACGGCTGGTGGTTCAAACCCACCAGCCACTCCTCGGAAGGAAGGTTGGGCAATCCTACTTCCTTAGTGATACTGCCTCAGAAACCCAAGGAGGGGTCGCTATGAGTCGGGTTTGACTCGACGGCACATAACAACACCAACAACAATTCTATATTTCAAGATTTTTTAGAAAGTAAATCATGATTATTCGTCAACTAATTGGTTGATGGTCTTAAAAAATATTTTAAAAATTTCAAATTATCTAGTTTTCCTTTTTGATATACTCTGGCTGTGGGTGGTGCAGATGTTTGGCAGCTGGCTGTTAACCTAAAGCTTGGCTATTTGACCTTACCCAGCAGCACTACAGAAGAAAGTCCCGATGACCTGCATCTATCAATATTACAGCCAAGAAAACCCTATGCAGCAGTTTTACTCTGTTACACATGCGCTCACCATGAGTTAGAATTGACTCATTGGCAAAGGATTTGGTTTATAGATGATAAATAATATATAAATTGATTTGATAGTAAGAAAGTATACATTTTATTATGTACATGTGTTGAAGAGCTTTAATAATTACAAATATCAACTATTATAAAATATCAATTTTATGGCTGCCATAATTTTTCTTTTTAAAATATATGACTTGCACCCAAACCAAACCAACTACCATTGAGTTGATTCTGACTCATAGCAACCCCCATAGGGTTTCCAAAGCTGTAAATATTTACGGAAGTAGATTGCCTCATCTTCCTCCCATTGAGCAGCTGATGGGATTGAACTGCTGGTCTTTTGGTTAGTATCCAAATGCTTGACCCACTGCACCACCAGACTTCCTATATATGACTTGCGTATTTGTCAAATCAGTAAATAATTTAAAGGAACATTTTGTCTTTCAGAGCCATGTACTGTAAATGTGGATTACATGAACAGAAATAACATAGAGATGAAGTGGAAATACGAAGGAAAGAGCTTACATGGAGATTTAATAGATTTTATATGTAAACAAGGATATGATTTATCTCCATCCACCCCTCTATCTGAGTTATCTGTGCAGTGTAACAGAGGAGAAGTGAAATATCCCTTATGCATTAAAAAAGGTAACACAGTAATGCTTTCTGACAAGTTCTTAACTTGATCATTACCTCCCAGTTAAATTGAAAGCATAAGACCCTAAGCAATTCACTACCATCATCTTCTGATCTACAATGGGGACAACATTTCAATCAGTATCCAGTCAGCATATGCACTCCAATAGCATGAGTATGCTACATCTCCTTTTAATTCTAACAGAGAGTTTTATGAATGGAAAGCATCAAGAGGTTTTATAAATATTACTAGACTATCAAAGAATCGATCCTTCTCCAAGAATAGCCGTGAAAAACATAGATCTTCCCAGTGATTCCTTGGGAACATTATCTCAAAAAAGGGCTGATGCCGAGTGCAAGAGACTGGAGCGGAAAGGTGGAGAAGACCCTTTACTCTCTAGGCAGGGTTGCATGCTCTGTGGGCATTGGGACAATTACTTTTTTTAAAAGAAGAAAGGAAGTGAATACCTCTATAAAGTATTGCTTAAAGGAGTTTCTCATATGCTTGCCCTTTTGACTAGATACAAAGCAAAAAAGAAAGTTCATGATTATTAACACTCTGTAATTAATTTTTTGAAATATCACATGAGATTCTAATGATAATATTGTAAAAATACATTATATAAACAAAGCCAGACCAAACTTACCGCCATCCAGTCAGATCTGACTCATAGAGACTGAAAGATGGTATCACTATGGAAATAGATTGCCCAACCCCCTTTCCGAGGAGAGGCTGGTGGGTTAGAACAGCCAGTCTTCTAGTAAGACATTATTTCAGAAATGCTTGCAATTGTCAATAGGTATTTGAGAACTGCCTAAAAAATGCTGTTTACCTAAAAAATTTTATTTCTGTAGCAAGTATAAAAGCCCTGGGTCTTCATTAATGCAATTCATTGTATAGTTTAAAAATTATTTTTTCAGAATCTAAAGGAATGTGTGGATCTCCTCCACTTATTAAAAATGGTGTCATTATTAGTTCAGCAGCTGGAACCTATGAAAATGGTTCCTCAGTAATATACAGATGCTTTGATCACCATTTCCTACAAGGATCTAGAGATGCCTATTGTTTAGATGGAATGTGGACCACACCACCATTGTGTTTAGGTATGTAAATATGCCTCTATTTAATAAAAGAAAACTTTGTCTTATTTTCACTTTCTTCCCTTAAACTGATGTAATATTAAAGCCCTTAATTTTCTGTTTTTGTATTATTTTATTAGTGTTTCTGTTCAGTTACTATTTTCTATACTGCCCACTAAATCATAAATAACTGCTGCAGTCCAATTCCCTCTAAAATGTGTTTGTGAAGGGCAAACCATTCTTCAGGTACTGGTTTGGAATGGGCTGCAAGATGAATAAGCCATAGTGTTTTGGGTAAACATGTAAACATTTGTCTTTCACTGAAATTGATATCATGGAAACTTTTAGCTTGAGATGGTATCATCTTCTTCCAGAGAATACTCATCTACCATCATCTTCTGATCTACAATGGGGACAACATTAAGCTCTGGTTAAGCTAGTGTTAAGGTTTATTGTTTTCAATTGCTATTGCGTCAACTCTGACTCATGGAGCTTCACTCCATAGGGTTTTCAAGGCTCTGACCTCTTGGCAGCATCTTACCAGGCCTTATTTTCAAGGTGCCCCTGGGTGTGTTTGAATTGCCAACTTTTGTTTAGTAGTCAGTGCTTAATCATTTGTATGACCAGTTAGGGGCAGATGGTCTCAATCCAATTACAGACTAAGTTTACATTAAGCTTCTTTTATACCTTTATTTATCCATACTAATAGGTGTAGCCCTCCAGTGTGCTCTATTGGGAGTTTGCTCTTAAACCAAGACTACTCCTTCTCGACTGGCTCTGATATTACTGGGAGACTGCCAAAAGTACAACACAGTTTTCATTCACCTTCAGCTTGGCTCCTAGTCCTTTTCCTCTGCACAGGTCGAGAATAGGCAAGTGCCTCAGAGGAAAAGGCACTGCAGAGCAACCAGTCATTTCTCTGTACCTCTTCCTGTCCTTTGTGTTCTGGACCTCTCAAGTCCTGCATGTTTTGGTAGATCCAAACCCTCGTTTTTGATCATCAACCCTTTAAAATTTCCAAAAGCTCTACTGGCTCTGTGCCTGTTTTGGACCATTCTTTACCAGTTTCTAAGGTCATCTTAAGGAACAGTAAACACCCCAAGAGGAAATGGCACACAGAGGGAGCTTTGTCCAGGACCTTCTTAGCTCCTGAAGTGCAGGCAGCCTTAGAAGTTTTCTGATACTTTGCAATATTTGCTTTTTGTTTGTCTTCCAGAATTTCTAGTTCACAGTAGAAGTACTGATCTGCTAGACGCACTTTATCATACTAGAAAGCAGAAGGTCCATGTATCAATAATTTTTTACTTATCTTAATTAAAATTTCACATTTTGCAGAATGATGACATTATTTACTTCATTTTCAAAACTACTTTGCGGTGACTTTAAAGATGCTAAAGAGTCTTTTAAATAATAATATTCCCTTTTTTATGTTGTTTACAATACTTCCTGTATAACATATGGTACGTAGGCGGCAAGTACCTGTTGAATGAGTAAGTTTGTTGATGTATTACAAAAGTATGATTGATATACTTTATTAGTAACTTTTCACCATGTTACTTAACTGTCTCATGAAGCTACTCCTTAGTACTAAGATATATAAGAGGCAAATAAGGACATAAGCCACCCCATATTCTGAAAAAGTTGATGCTTTTTAAATACCAACATTTTTAATCATGGAAAAGATCAAAGAAATTTGTTGCCTATCTTAATACTTAATTGTAAGTTTTTGTTTTGTTTTAATACATAAGATAAATGGCATACTAATGCTTTTATGCTTAGGATTTTAAAAATTAAGCAAATATGAATAATTCTTAATAACTGGAAGCTTAAAAGAAGGGACTGCCAACTACTGGTGATGGCCTCAAGCCATGAGGAGTTTGGATAAATGGTAATAATCCAGCTGATTTCTTTATTTCCATAAACATGTTTATCAAGTATTTTACCTGACCCTAATAAAGAAGAAAAAGGGAAAAAATCATTATTTCAACAACTGTTATTAACTGTCAGTGCTTCTGGAAAACACTTTGTAGTGTGTGTGCGCTACATTTTAAAATCCTAATGGCATAAAATGAAATGGCCAGTAGGACATAACCTTTTTCCAAATCTAGGACCACAGATATAAATAGAAGGATGTTCTCTGGGTAGCTTGAACATATTATCCCACTTCAATATTAATCCTAACTAGTTCCCTTGCTATTGTCATACTTGGGAGTTTTTTAGCTCATCTAGAGTAGGCAACACAGTGCTTCTTGTAAGAACCAAGATACATCAACATATTTTTCTTCTTTTCAGAGCCTTGCACTTTATCTTTCATTGCAATGGAAAAGAATAATTTACTCCTGAAGTGGAATTTTGACAACAGACCATATATTCTCCATGGAGAGTATATTGAGTTTCTTTGTAGAACAGACACTTATCTAACTGTGTCACCATCTATTATGGGATCTGAACTTAGAGTGCAATGTGACAGAGGACAGTTAAAATATCCAAGGTGTGTTCAGAGAGAAAGGTAAGAAAAGGCTCTCATTTACCACTATTTTTTTTTTATGGGTCAAGAGATTGATTACATAATAAATTTCAGAAATATTAGGTTCTACAGCACATCTACTTTGTGGTTTTGGAAAGACAAAAAAGTCATATTTTCTTAATTTTAGCAAAAATTTAAACAAACTTCTGGAATTTTTAATTAATTTATTAAACTTTTTAAGATGTCTGAATTTAAAGAACTCTGGTAGCATAGTGGCTAAAGCACTTGACTGCTAACCAGAAGGCTGGCGGTTCAAACCCACCAGCCACTCCTCGGAAGGAAGGTTGGGCAATCCTACTTCCGTAGTGATACTGCCTCGGAAACCCAAGGAGGGGTCGCTATGAGTCGGGGCCGACTCCACGGCACATAACAACAACAACAACAACAACAATTTGCCAAATGACATTTATGATTTTTTGGCAATTGGGTAAGTAAATCATAAATCACTGTATATGTGAAGAATATTTAAATGTGGAATGTTGTTTGTTGTTGTTATATGCCGTCAAGTCGGCCCCGACTCATAGCGACCCCTCCTTGGGTTTCCGAGGCAGTATCACTACGGAAGTAGGATTGCCCAACCTTCCTTCTGAGGAGTGGCAGGTGGGTTTGAACCACCAGCCTTCTGGTTAGCAGTCAAGTGCCTTAGGCACTATGCTACCAGAGCTCCTAAATGTGGAATAGTTAACCTATATCTTCTGAGATGAGAGAAAATGACATTTTTCCATCTTCCCTAAATAAGTTCTTGCATAACTGGTTGATGTTGAGAGAACAATCGTACAAACCTTTCTTCTGAGACAAGAACATATTGATAAGTGATATAAATTATGGTATTTATTTTAATAATCATACTTATGCATACAAATTTGGAATAATTGAAATGTTACTCATATGACAATTTGATGAATGGGCTATATTCCTGTTCATTTCTTAGAAAAATAATTTTAAAATTCTTTTGTATATTATTTTATATAATCAAAGTTTTAACCCTTTTGACTATATTATATAAAATGGAAATTATACTGCTAACCAGAAGGCTGGTGGTTCAAACCCACCAGCCACTCCTTGGAAGGAAGATCTACTTCCATAGTGATACTGCCTCGGCAACCTAGAGGGGTTGCTATGAGTTGGATCTGACTTGCTGGCAGTGAGCTTGGGTTTTGTTTTATTAAATTACAAATAATAAAAAAATAATTAATAGCAAATTGTATGTGGTAGTTCTAATAATCGTAAAAATGAACTGTATTAACTACATAAAAACAACTTTTTAAGTACTTTGACACTCTAGGGGAAAAATATCATAAGATACATATGGGTAGAAAAATATATGTTATTTTAATAAGTTTTAGTATATCGTGGCTTTCTCATTTCTAAGAAAAAAAGGAATAAATTGACAATTGTAAAATGAAAAATAGTGGAGATTTTTTTATTTTATATGTAAACAGGGATATGATTTATCTCTATCCATGCCACTGTAGTACTAGTTTTTAAAAAGGAAAAAATATGGCTACTTTCTTTTATGTTTTACCTAGCTAAAACAATTACTTAAATGAAATGTTGAGTGTCTGAAATTTTAATAAATACTTGACCAGAAATGATTTTTGTTTTAAAATCTCTCTCTCTCTCTTTAAATAAAGGATTCTGTCCTTCCAAGGACACTTGAGGACGTAAAATGAATGGCAGAAAGAATAACATTTCAACACATCATAAAATCCTTTAAGGAATACAATTTTTAGAAGAAAAATGTTGAGTTAAAAACCTACAGTTTTTTTTACTTGCTTGAAGATTTTAATCTAAATTGTTTATGCTGGACGTTTTCTTCATTTGTAAATAAAGGCCAAAAAATGTTTCATTTATATTTTGGATGATTTGAGATGTAACCTAACCTTTATTGCATGCCTTCTATTTGTTAGATAACGATCAACATATTTTTATTTCCAAATGTCCATTTACTGCACTATATTGTTGTTTTGAACATATTTACAAATATATCACATTTGTCTCTATAGTCTTCATTAATATTAGGATTTCCCAGTCATTCCTTGGAAGGAATATAGGGCAATATACTTCCGTAGAGATACTGCCTCAGAAACCCAAGGAGGGGTTGCTATGAGTCAAATTGACTCGACGGCAGTGAGTTTGGTGGCTTTATTATTGTTATTATTATTACTTTTAATTTATGCTGACATTAAAGAATCAACACACTAGACATAGAAAGTGTGTATGATATTAGAGGACTTATTCTATTAAATGCAGAGGTGACTGTTCTTCAGCCTTTCTAAGTGTAAATTACTTTTAAAACAAAAATATAATATTACTCGTAGAGACCCCTCTTTGGGTTTCCAAGACCATATCACTACAGAAGTAGATTGCCCAATCTTCCTTCTGAGGAGTGGCTGGTAGGTTTGAACTGCCAGCCTTCTGGTTAGCAGTCAAATGCCTTAGGTACCATGCAACCAAAGTTCCTGTAACATTAGCCACAGGTAGAAAATCATTGTTTGTGTGGTAGTGAACACACAATCAAATATTCAAATATTGCCAAAGGAACAAGGTTAAGAGAAGGATGACTTTTGCCATTTTTATATTTTACAAAATGAAATTGTACGCTGGTGGCATAGTGGGTAAGGCATTTGGCTGCACACTAGAAGGTCAGTGGTTCAAATCCACCAGCTGCTCTGCAGGAGGAAGATGAGGCAATCTAGTCCCATAAGATTTACAGTCTTGGAAGCCCAATGGGGTCACTATAAGTTGGAATTGATTCAAATGCTGTGAGTTTGTTTTTTTCTGGTTTAGGCAGTATGCTAGGACTGGAGATATAGCAATAAATTAGATGCACACTGTTTCTATCCTTATGTAACGTGTATTCTTGTGAGAAAGAAAGATGTTAAACAAATACTTACAAAATGATATGTGCCAGAGAAGACTGTTTTTGGCAGTGAACACCAGGGGAAACAGCCTGGATGCACAAGAATGGCTCCTTCAGGCAAGTGATATATAGATTGAGATCGAAAAAGATGGGAAAAAACAACAAAACATTTCATGTAGAGGAAGGATCATGTTGGAAAGCAGCAAAGAATATAATATTTCCAAGACATTAATAAAAATCCAGGCTGGATTGAACAAACAAAGTGAAGGAGAGAGTGAGCAAGGTTAAGTTGAGGAGGTCAGATAGTGAAGTCCGTTATAGGCCAAACTAAAGATTTGAGAAATCACAAAATGAAATGATGTGCTTATAGTGCATTTTACAAAGACACTGACTGCAGTATGAGGAGACTCACTTTAGCCGGAAATGTGTAGGCACAGGGAAACCACTGAGGAAAACAATGCTGTCAGAGGCAAGATGTGATAGTTTTTTGCACAGGTGGCAGCAGCAGGGATGGTGCCAACTAGACTGAAATAAGAGATATTTAGAGTGTAAAATCAAAGACATTGGTCATTCATTAGATGTGGAGTGGGAGTGAGGCAGAGAAATGAGTTTAGGATGATACCTAAGTTCCTGGCTTGACTAAGCAGATGAAGTGGCCTCTCAGTGTGATAGGAGGAGTTGGAGAAAGAAGCAAGGTGAGGGAGTGAGAATTAGCATGAAGATTCCAGTTTTGGAAATGTAATTTTTGAAGTGTCTGTGGGATAGTCAAATGAAAATGATAAGTAAATGGTTGCCAATGGTTAAGCGTTCCACTGCTAGCTGAAAGGTTGGTGGTTCAAACTCACCCAGAGGCACCTCTAAAGACAGGCCTGGTGATCCGTTTCTGAAAAGTCACAGCCTTGAAAACACTGGGGAGCAGTTCTATTCTGCATACATAGGTTGGCTGTAAATTGGAATTAACTCAGTGATGTGGTGGGAGCTCTGGAGGCGTAGTGGTTAAGACACTTGACTGCTAACCAGAAGGCTGGTGGTTCAAACCCACCAGCCACTCCTCAGAAGGAAGGTTGGGCAACCTACTTCCGTAGTGATACTGCCTCGGAAACCCAAGGAGGAGTCACTATGAGTCGGATCCGACTCCACAGCAGTGAGTTTGGTTTCGGTTTTCCGTGATGTGGTGAACCACCAAGATTTCCTTCAGAAATGAAGAGCTTGCTCTTCCAGCAACTGAAAGTGCTGTGGCAGAAAGCTCTCAAATATCAGATCCCTAAGGTGATAGTCTCAGCTGAAGGAACCTCTTCTCTCAAGGTCAGGGCTCCTTCCCAGAACAGTTTGTAACAATGACTGGCCAACAGAAGCAACAGAAGTTATAAAGGAAAGGCATCTTCACGCCAACTCAGGACAACTCTAAAAGGTAGTCAGTCTCAGCCTCAAAACTACCCATGGGTTTTTGCTGAAGCTTCTGTTGAAACTGCATTGCAGCTCAGCTTCTCTTGCCCTGCTTCCTTCCCTTCCCTTCAAAAGTGTGACTCCCAGCATATTCCCAAAAAACCTCTTGCTTGCTATTTTCCATCTTAGACTCTGCCTCCCTCAGAATCCAAACTGTGAAAGTTATGTAAGTCTAGCTATCAGAATAGAACACTGGGGATAGTTGGGAATCATTATCTAGTAAATGTTTATTACAATGTTATTAAAACTAAGGTAATAGATAACTTTTTCAAAGTGAGGATAAATGTAGTCCTAGTTCAGGACTTAGAGGCAATCCAAAGTTTAGTGACTTGATATAGGAAAAGGTACATCCAAGGAAACTGACAAGAAGTGGCTGGCCCGGTAGAAGGAAAACCAGAAGAGATAGGGACTGAAAAGGCTGTTTGGATATTATTGTTGTTGTGTTAACAGGTACTGTTGAATCAATTTTGGCTCAGAGTGATCCCATATGATGGAGTAGAACTACCTCCATAGGTTTTTCTAGGCTGTAATCCTTATAGGAGCAGGTCGCCAGATCTTTCTCCCATGGAGCCACTGGGTGAGTTCAAACCACCATCCATAAGCTAAGGTCTTAACCATTTTTGCCACCAGAGTTACTTTTGGATATAATTGGTTACCTTGAAAGGAAGAAGCATTATTAAATGTGAAATTGAGAGGAGCAGGTGGAGAAATAAATGCAAAAAATGGATGTACTCAACTTGTCAATAAGTATGACAGTGAAAGAGGGAAATGTTGGGTGGCACGGAGGTAGAGATAGAGATAAAGGAGGTCTTTTTAAACAAAATGGGAGGAATTAGAGCATGTTTGAATTAAATGGGAATGGGTCAGTAAAGGACAGGTAGAAGATAGTGGGAAAATAATTGCATAATAGATTACAGGAAGAAGGTGGGGACCAGGTTTGCTGGTCCAATAGAGCCTGGTGTAACCACTGAGACTATGGCCCCTAGCTGCCCTTCAGGTCTGGAATTGAACCCACAACTGTGGTTTCCAGCCAAACAAAGTACAGGCATGTGAGTTAAACATTTACCTCAAGTAGACACACGCCCTGGAGAGAACAATCATGGGAGAAGGAAGGGCTGCTTATGCACAGGGAGATAGCTCAGGGTGCAGAAGAGTATGAAGGGATGGACACTGGGAGGAGGTAACTATGGGGAGGAAGTGGGAGGGGAGCTGCTGCATTGCAAATTTTGGCCAATGACATGAGACAAAGTATATGTGAACTGCTGTATGAAAAGTGAATTTACTCTGTAAATCTTCATCCAAATCCTAATTAAAAAAAAAAAAAAAAAAGATTACAGAAGACTCCTAAAGAAGTGGGAGATGATGAGACCCATGGCACACATGGAGGGATGGCCTTTGCATGGGAGGAGGGACTGGTTTTGTGACCAGAATGAGGTCACCCAAATCACACAGTTTATATATCACCTGTGAACCAGAGCAGCCATCTACTGAGCACATGTAGGGATATGTGGGAAAGAAGTTAAAGGATTAAGGAGATTGGAGGAAGTTTGAAAGAGTCATATAAAGAGTGAGAAAGTGAGATGATGGTAGAATTAAAGGATTGGTTTACTTGACTTGAGTAAGGATACTTCTAAAAGATAATACAAAGGAAAAAAAATACAAAAATGCTACTTGAAAAAGAAGCAAAATCCAGGAAGATGATGTGGCAAACTAATTTATTGAATTATCCATTCAGTTAAATGTGTGAGGTGTTGAGGATAATGTTACAGTGATTACCATTTTGCTTTTTAGATGGCTTTATGCTGTTGGAGTTTTTTGATTAATATGAATAAAGCAAACTTTGCTTAGATGATTTGCCATCTTTAGAATATAGGAGCATTAAGTTAAAGATCAAAGATTCACTAACACGGTGATTGCCCTGGGGTATTCCAAGGCCTAGAAGGGCTCTGCCTGCTTCTGCACAGAGAAACTTTAATTTTTCAAAAAAAGTTAAGAATTCATAGATATCTGTATTTTTTCATTTTTTTTAAAAAAGGATCAAAGCACTGGAGAACATTATTCGTTAAAACTGAATTCAGGGAGCCCAGTACAATTCCTTTGGAGGAAAATTAGACTGTGAACAATCCAACCATAAGTGACAAGTACTTTGCCTATTTTTTATTTTCTCTCAAATATAAATATAAATATTACACAGTATTCGAGGTTTCTATTTAACAGGTGTTTTATTTGCTTTTACATCCTTTCAAATTAACTCACAGAACAAAATTCAATAAATATATTTACATAACCAGCTCCAAACTTGTTGCCATGGAGTTGATTCCAACTCAAATTTACATAGCATCATGTAAATTATTCTGTG